TCCATATAAAATTAAGTTTTCCCTTGTATTCATGTATAAGTGTGAATGTGTGTGTGTGTTTGTGATTTTTTTCCTCCATAAAAATATTTTTCTTGGAAGGAATTGGATTGAATTTAAAATATTCTTTCCTCAGGGTATCAAAAAAGTTGAATGTTGTTTATATGATGAATTCAAGGATGAACAGTTTGGAACAGAAATAGTTAAAGGTTTACAGCTATTAGAAATGAAGCGCAAAGATGACACTGGATATTATCATTGCTGTAAAGAATTTTTATTTGGTAAGAGAAATTATTTTCTAAACTTTTAATATTCTATTCTTCTTTAAATGTATTTTCTTGTTTAAATATTTATGGCTTGTCATACACCAATGATAATAGCACTACAATTTAAAAGCCTTATTTTTGTTACTAAAATAATTAATCCTACAGTTTCTTAATATTTCAGTGAACATTTCAAGAGACCACATTTCACTCCCTCTTTAGCCTAATATGACAGATACTAACTATGTACAGTACTTACTGGTGAATACTAAAATTACAAAATATGAATTACTTATTAACAGAAATACTTTCAACTAATTTTAAAAGATATTTCCCAACAATGCATGTAGCATCCTTTTTTTTTTTACGTTAGAAAAAATTAAAACTTGTGTAAAACTGATATTAAAGCCCTTAGAGTATTTTCAATTCTAAATTATAAACAATTACTAACAAAGTAGTGTTATTAATGAATTTTTATTAATTTCAAAATCAATTATATTCTCAATTTTATAGTTCTGTAGTTTTTGCAATATTTTAATGGCAGTGCAACAGTGGTGCACAATGCATGAACCTCTCTGGAAACTTGTGGTTATGTATGCAAATTGTTCAAAAGTCCATTAACCAATTGTTCAAAATTAGAACAAAACAAGATCAAATAATATAACATTAAAATAAATTAAATTAGGAAGCTTCTGTCAATATAAATAAAAACAACAATATTATTTGTACCTACAAGAGAAAATATTAGTAACAAAGCCAGAAACTGATAGAAGCTCCCCTCATTACTAACAATTTTAATCAAAATTTTAAGCTGCATCAAATTACATAAACTAAAGGAGATATGTGTATTTAAGCTTCATACTTATTAGTCTTAAATGCAAAATCAAAAGTGATGATTTTAATAAATAAGTATAATTTTGGCGAGCGAGTCTGTTGTTACATTATATACACGTCAAGGTAATATTTACAAGAATTAATTTGAATACATTTATGAAATCGATTCAAAATTTTATCAATCATATTTTACTGATTACATTTCACAAAATGATGCTAAAAAGAAAATTGATTCCAATTTTTATGAAATGTTTATTATTATGATTTGTTTATTTACAGAAAATTCAAAATATTCAAAAAACGAATGTTCAGAAGAATCCGAAGCAAAAATAGGAGAGAGTCCAAAGGTTGTTCTTCGAAAGGAGAAAGAAAACGTGCGAAAGAAAATTTCGTCTTTAACCGAAACACAACTAAAAAGATTATGACAGAAGCAATAATCAATGAAAATTAGTAATTTTATACACATGCACCTTGTATTTTTCTATGTACAAAATACTTGTATTATAGAATATCCACGTTGCACAAAATCACAATTAGTAAAATTGGATTGCAAGAACAGAAAACTCACACCTTTGTACATTAAATAAAGTTTATTTTCATTCTGATTCTTTCTCTGCATACATATCTTTGGTTATATCTGGAGAGACACTGTGCTTCAACATCTTGTTGTCATCAAAACAATCAGTTTTGTTACTTTACATATACTTAAGAATAAAATAAATGCAGAAAGTAAGCCATGCGATATTTGTTACCTTATAAAAACAGATATCAGTTTGAATTTTTCTGCTTTTATTTCTGGAAAACAAAGTGTGGAGACAAACTATAGATACTTTCAATAGAAATGATCAAAATTACAATTAAGAAATGTAATGATTTTATATCTTCTATTCCTCCTTTTGGAACAGCATCGAATGTATTCATGCAAATGAAATCATATTGTCATCTGTATAATTTACAATCAATATATCAATTCAAGATTATCAATTATTTGTTCTTGCATTTTAACATTTTACATTCTCTTATATTTAACATTTTAAAATCATTAAATAGAAGATTCATTGAATTACCTTAACAAAAAACAATGGGGCATGTGCCTTGGTACCTCCCAATTGCCTTAGCAACACCCATATATACTTAGATATACAGTAAATAATTCTTATCCCATTGACATATTTTAACTGTTTAGAAATTGTTCATTTGTACAATTTGTGACACACAACAAAGTAATTATATGTCAGATTTCTTATACTGGATGGTTTAAGTAGGTTTAAGTTACATGGGTAACCAGTGAATGGGTGCATGAGTTTGCTATTTCAGCCAGTTCTTTTTCCCCTTATGCCTACGTGTCCCAGACTTAACAAAATCTCACTTGGTAGTATCATAAAAAGCTGGTATAATAGCTGCGGGACCTTCTGCACGAGACAGTCCTGAAAAAACTAGAGTTCAAAGTCTGCATTGTACTGACAAAANGTGGCCCGCGGGCCGCGGGTTGGACACCCCTGCTGTACACCATAACAAACACACAGGAAAAAATTTGTTTTTTATTATTAAAAATAAAACAATCAACATACAAAATTAAACATAATTTGAACTTTTGATAGAATCTTTAAATTGTAGGTTTTCAAATGTTTGTATTCTTTTAGAGCATTCCAATTACATATTATTTGGTAGATCAGTGTGGTTTGACCAAAACAGTATTTGGATGTTGGCAGTAGCAGGTTATTTTTCCATCTGTAGTTGTATTTAGAAGGTCGGTAGTGTTTTTTCTAGCAGGTTACTAATAAAAGATTCTTTTCTGCAAAGTTAATTTAAAACTATCTAGAACAACTTGCTTTTTATATAATACACATACTTTGTTGATGTTATCCTGATTATTACAATACATCTAGAAAAATATATTTTTTTCTAGATAATTTTATATATTACAATATATCTAGAAAAATATATTTTTTTCTAGATGTTATCCTGGTTATAATGTAATATAATCATTTTATTATTGTAAATATTTCAAAAGATAACAAAATTTGAAACGTTAACTTCCAGAAATTCAAAACAAGTATTTCTGAAATTACTTTGTCAATGATCAGTGAATGGTTGTCTCTTTAATCCAAAATAATTCCTTCGGTAGACTATCTTACAGCAAGTCATGTTAAGAAACTCCTTTATTGTATTTTCACATATACATTTCGGGCTAGTTTTATTTTTTTAGTCTCTCTTCAGTGCTACAGGAAGTACACATTACAGACATTGAGTTGACAAATATAATAACATGAGTAGAAATGTCAAGTAACACAAGGAAACACTTTTTACAATATCTTTAAAGACTTCACCCACTTTTTTTCCCAAGCTAAATTGTTACACTCATATGGTACTTCTATTTACAATATTAAGATATCTTTCTGGGTGTAAAATGCAATACAATTTCTACTGAATAGTCTACCGAAGGAATTATTTCAGATTAAAGAGACAACCATTCACCGAACGAATAATACAGCCACAATGAGTAAATTCAACACATTACTTTGTCAAGATAAATAAATAGTTTTAAATAAAAAATTTATTATATATTGTAATATATAAAATTATCTATAACAGTGGTTCCCAATTAGTTTTTCCTGCATACCACTTCAAGAAAGAGCTCAAACTTGCATACCCCTTATAGCAGAAATTCATATTAATCTATACTAATATTATAACAGACATAAAAGGTATGTCTTTTATGTCTGTTAAAAGGTATGTCTGTTATAATGTTACCTTTTATGTCTGTTACCTTTTCACATCTAAACCGCTGAACAGGTTTTAATAAATAGACATAATAGACATAGTAAATAGACATAATAAATAGACAGGTTTTAATAAACAGACATAAAAGGTAACAGACAGACAGAATTACCTTCAGTAATTCTGTCTGTCTGTTACCTGTCTGTTTTAAATTTTTATGTTTATCCAGAAATGGCTCTACAACATTGGTAATATATGTTTGATTTGGGAATAGTTTGAGAGATCTGATGATGAAACAGTCTCAAGTAATGTTTCATCTGAAAATAAAAGGACTTAAAAAAGGTTTTATCTGAAAATAAAAGATTTCTTATCCTGTTAGCCGTTGGTGTGTTTAGTTGTTAATTGTGTTTCAACAGTTATGAATGGACATGTAGAAAACTTCAAAATGTTTTCATAGTTAGTCTTTACTTTAAATACATTGTTTCTTAAAAAAATTACATATTTATTGGCATAGTAGCAAGGGGTGCAGAATATTTTCAGGATCCAAAATTTCCCTAAAAATTATTCCACACTAGTTCACAAAATGAAACAAAAATGTTAATTCATTCATAAATTTATTACTGTGATTTTCAAAGATGGAATGCACTGAAGAAAATATTCATATAAATTTATATGAGTATTTTCTTCAGTGCATTTCATTTTAAAAATCGAAGCAATTTCGTCAGCATGAAGCAGGTCTTAAAAGTAGACCAAAAGCATTCATTTTATTTTAATTTTTTTTCCCATCCTGCTGGGAGATATATAAGGTTAGTGTGTGAACTTTTCTGGTTTGTGGAAGAGTAGATAGAACATTTAAGCTAATTAATGGATTTTTGATGTCAAGCATGTAAAATTTCTTTATGATGATGATAACCTTGTGATTTTTTTCAAAAAATTTATTTACAAAATATGTCAAATTTTTTGTGAGAAGACAGTGCAATAAGAGTATTTTATTCTTCAGAATTAAATCCACAAGGGTTGTAGAGAAGTTTGCATGGATCCAAACTCCATTCATTGCTATGTTTTGTTTTTTTTGGAAAGTATTGTTGTTCTGTAGAAATGTTGATAAGCCCACTAATCAGACCCACACTCTTTGGAAAAATAATCACAAAGAATGAGACATGGATTTCTATGTTAAATCCAGAAATGAAACTTCAGTCACAACATGCAGGATTGCTTCCAAAAACTTTCAAATTGCAATGTCTACTGAAAAGTTCTCTAAAGCCCTGGTCACACTATGCGATTTCCAGCCGCACAGGCAAGTGCAACTGCAACAAGTGCAAATCGTGCGTGTCTTCTCATGGTCACACATTGTTTGTTGATGTTGCACTCAGAAACATGTGACCCTATTGTAGTGCTTCGCGACTATTTTCCTTTTTTGTTGTTTCGGTTTTTCCCTCACCCTTTCGTTTTTGTTCGTGGTGCCACCTGTCCCCAGTTCACCGTATATTGGCAGCCGGATTGGCCTGTTGTCGTCATGTGAGGAGTATATCCGCTGTGTAGGATATATAAGGCCGAGACCCACATGGAGGCGTACCTTTTTGCTTCCGGATTGTTCCTGACTACAATGTTCTGACCACGTGTGTGAGATCGAGGCGCCGAGCATGGGAGACCCGAGGACGTAGGGAGACAAGATAGCAGAAATCAGTTTGCATCTAAACAAGGATAGTGTGGAAGCGAATAACAACTTGTCCAAGACAAAGAAAACTGACTGAAGATTCGTAGGCGCAGATTAGTTCTTCTTCAAATGTTTGTAAGCGGTGTAAAATTGTCATGAGTAATTTTGTTAATATCTTCCATTGTTCACGTTGTTTGCTGTCCTGCATTGTCATGTGTCGTGAGCCCCCAAAGCTGAGGAAGGAAAGAGGGAAAGTTGTAAATGTATGTATTGTTTGCATGTACCACTTGGATATAACACATTATTGTCAATAGTTCATATCTTATGTAATTATCCCATTTGTACCCTAATGAAAGTTAATTAAATACTAAGTTATTGTTGAGCCGACTTGTCCGTTGTTTTTTTTGTGAAGTCCTGCAGACCTGTTCTACAGGGAACTCTACACTATAATAAACCAATAAAATTACAGTAGCTTGTTTTTTGTCTACTTTTGTGAGTTTACGTTCTAATTCAGAGTATTTATGGAATTTTAGCCACTTTTCTTATTAAAATGGCAAGCAGTTCCTTTTCTGGAGTGAATAAAAGAAAAAAGGTGTTAATTTTGTTAGAGATGGCGAGAATATAAGAAGGGAAAAATAAGAAAAAAAATGTTCACACCGGGTTAAAACTTGGCAAAATGAAAATCACCGGGCTAAACAATCTTGCTTCCACCAGCTGATGAATGAATTAAGGTTATAGGGATGCTGAAGGTTATAGGGGACATATCCGTATGGATACGAATACTTTTCAAAGTATTTCAAAGAGGATAACACCCATAATAGCTAAAGAAGATACACATCTCTGAAGTTCTATTTCACCCGGAGAACGTCTTTCGTTGACATTTTGTTATTTAGCAACAGGTAAGAATATAATATATATTGTATTTAATTTATATTTTATGCAATCTTATGATTAAAATGACTCATATATAATTTAGGCAAAACGTTTTATAGTTTGGCATACCAATTTAGAGTGGCCCATAATTCAATATCAGTCATTATCCCAGAAGTTTTGGATGCTATTTATCAATCTTATAAAAGTGAATATTTGAGGGTAAGTGTTGTTCAGAGGAAAGCTTGAACGATTTAATTCATTTTTAATTGATATATTTTTTCTTTAATATAAGCATTTATTTTATTCAATTGTATATTATTAAATGTAATCAAACCTTTTAAAATAAATCTAACAATAACTCTCATAAATTCAGATTTGATTTATATCAAATATAGCATTTAAATTTAAATGTATTAAAACTGAGTTAAATCAAATGTTACTATCAAGATATGTTGACAAATATACGACATAAGGTATATCTCAATAATGTTAATTTTACAAAAAAATTGCGCAGAAAAATTTATTTCAAATGTTCTTCAAGAACTTCATATTATTTTGATTTTTAACTTTATTATTATATTGGCTACATTAATTTAAAATTGTTTATTTTCCTAAGGCACCATCTGCAGTATGTGAATGGGAAGATATTGCTAGGAAATTTGATGAAATGTGGCAATTTCCTCATTGCTTTGGTGCAATAGATGGAAAACATGTACAAATCATATGTCCTAAGCAATCTGGATCTGCTTATTATAACTATAAAGGTAGTATTTCTGTTATTAGTCAATTATTTGAGGTTGTACTTAGTTATTCTGTTTGCTAAAATTCTGTTTTTTCCAAATAAGGATTTTATAGTGTGGTTATGATGGCAATGGTGCGTGCAGATCTTTCATTTATATATGTGGATGCAGGCACTAATGGGAGACAGAGCAATTCTTCGATTTGGAATGCATCAAATCTGAAGAAAGCCATTGATGATTGAAAATTAAACTTTCCACCAGATAGTCCTCTTCAAGGTGGAGGACAGCCAATTCCATATGTATTTGTTACAGATGAAGGAATTGGTATGTCTTTGTGAGCCTTACCCGATGAAACAGTTGACAGCAGAGAAATCCATCTTCAATTATAGGTAAAAGAACTATTTAATATTAATTATTTAAAACAATTTATTATTATTATTAGTGTATAAGTCATAAAAACTGTTTAATTCAATTCAAATTGAAATTATTGTTAGATTATCAAGAGCAGGGAGAGTTGTTGAAAATGCATTTGGGATCTTCTCTTCTGTTTGGCGCGTCTTCTCTACAGTGATTTTATTATCCCCGGATAATGTGTTCTTCACGACATGTTACAGGAAAGAAAAATAAAATCTTATCCCACAGCTGCTACCAGTGACAACTTTGGAGAGCAATATCAACAGTTTATATCCTTGGAAAACAGTCAAAATTTAAATCCATCAACAGCAAAAGCAATCTGTGATGAATTGAAAACTTATTTTAATACTGTAGATCAAGTAGAATGGCAATGAGATGTAAAATTATTAAATAATAAATATGAAATGTAAAATTATTTAAAAAGTTTGGAATTATTATAATTACAAGTCTTCATTATAAATAATATACTGTTTTGAGTTAAGAAATACAACTTTGATACAGTAAGTGAAAAATGTTTATTAAGAACTATTTACAATATTTTTAGTTGCAAGTCCAAGGCATTTTCCTTGGGAAGGATTCTTAGTTTGACAGCTATAAGGCTGCCAAATTTGTCGAACACATCCTTTTTTGGTTCATGACTCAGAGCCTGAAAAAATTTTAAAAATACAATATTAAAGGAAAACGCATGAAGTTTTCAGTCTTATATTATTTATTTAATAGTCTTCTTTGTATACAAACATTACTAAACCCGATACATAATGTATCTAAATACCAACCAACTGCCGAAATTCCATCGGGCTAGTTTACGTAATTCATTTAGTAATTAGCCTTAAACTAGCCCGATAGAATTTCGGCAGTTGGTTGGTATTTAGTCTTCTTTGTATTTGTGTAATATTTATAGTATCAGTTACTAAAGTGAACACTTAAAATTATTGTGTTTTTTAGTTGTTCATTCTGAGCTGTAAACCTTAAATAAATAAATTATACATTTTGAAATAACTTACATTCTTTGTCCTTTCCTGCAATTTTTTTTTTTTGGATGGCTGTGGATTATCAAACATGACTGGTGATAATGAAAGCATTTCATTATCATTAAACATTTTATCATCATGTACTGGTACATCAATATTTATATTGATAATTCTATCTGTTTCTTCCATGCAGCCAGAAGTGGATGGTTGTGTATCATTTAACTACAAATAAAAATAGGCTATATTTAATTTTTATCTACTTCAATATATAAAATATATATAACTTATATAATTACATCATATGATGATGATGGTGACATCGTTCTCTTATAAGAGTTTAAAAGAAAACTGAGGGATGACCAATGCTCCCATGTTGGTTCATATATCTCATTCTCACCACATCCACTTCACTTGCTGTCGTCTACTTTTTTTTTTATTCTAAGAAACATCATTCTCAGATGATGGAACTTTTTACTTAGTTCTTTAGCTATTTAAAACAATATTGTTGTTACCAAATTAAAAACAATCAACATTTTATATCCAGAAATCTAAAAATGGTACTTATGATCAATGCCGAGACTTTCACTTATCTCACGCCATGCCTGCACTCTTTTATGCTTTCTTCGATAAAATGAAGAATTAAAATCCCACAGGCATTTGTGTGAGACTGAATAAGCTTGATTAATCTTGATTCTGTTAAACTATCCATCATCTTGCTTTCTACCATTATTTTCTAACTACAATATTTTCAATGTTGCCACTGTATGACGTGGAAAATCAATGTTTTCTGATTGAATGCGCACTTGCAGTCAGCATGAGTATAACAAACTTTTTGTTTCTAGTTGAGGTTGCAGTCGCGCTGGTTTTCGAAGGGGGTTTACTAGTTAACGGGAACAGCCATAGTAGTTGCAGTCGCCTGCATGGCTGGAAATCGCATAGTGTGACCAGGGCTTTAAGTGATTTTTATGGAACGATTGAGATGTTATCCTTTACTTTGCTGTTCCAAAGGGCATTACCATCAATGGCAAAGTTTACAAAGACATTCCAAAGAAATATTTATCGCCTTCTATTGCAGAAAAGTAACTTGATGGAAGATGACATTTTCCATCAATTCAAGATAATGTTCTACCACACAAGGCAGGAGTTGTCACAGAATTTCTGATTGAACAGAACATTGAAACCATTAGACACCTTCTGTATTGACCTGATCTTGCTTTTAGTGACTTTTGGTTATTTGACTCATTGAAACTTGGTTTTCAAAGAAGACAATTCTCATGAAGATCAAGTTTGTGTTCTGCCATTTACTAATCCCTAAAACATATACAGTAGAACCCATTTAAGAAGTTCCTGCCTAAGAGGTTTTCCCACATAAGAAGTCCAGTTTCTCTGGTCCTGGTATTTACACCATAAGATGTGAGTTAAAATTTTTCACATAAGTTTCTGCTTAACAAATAAAAAATTTGCCAGGACAATAATGACATTTATAGAAAATATATTTCTTTTTTGACTATAAATACATAGATGAGTCTTTGTCTATTTTCTGTCCCTTCACACACTGTACGAGGCAATAACAAATTCCACTGGCGAAGTCAACCTTTTTATGTATGCTACCATAAAAAGTAGACAAATTATGTAGACAAAGACTCATCTATGTATGCTCTATCATCTAATAACTTCAGCTGTTTATCATATTGTATATCAAATATCTACACCCCTGAGGTGGTCGTTAATTTTGCTGGAGGTCTTAATGTTTTGACCGTATTCCCTATCTGGTGCTGCTCATTAAGTATTGACATATCATATTGACACTAGTCACTTCTTCACCTGCTGTAGTCAGTGTAACATATTCGAATAGTAAGATGCACTATGTTTGTTATATTAACTTGATATTGAAATAAAATTGATTATACAGATAAATTATGTTTTTACAATTCCTACTTAAGAAGTTTTTTAGAGGTCCTTTCAAAAGCTTATTAACAGGGTTCTACTGTACCTGAATAATCCAACAAAACAAATTAAGGCAAGTGGATTGAATGCAGGTAACTGTGCTTAGACGAAAAAAGAGACTTGGTAGAAAAAGTGTGCAAGTCTTAATAGACCTGTGCAAATAAATTATTTTGAGAATTTTCTGTGTTACTTTTGCACTGCATCTCATGCATGTCTATCATTACAAATCATTTATTTAACTTATTTTATCATATTTTTAATGATTTAAAATAATACTTTATAAATATAATTGTTTTTTTTTTAAATACTTTAGGTAATATTCATAAAAATTGCTGATGATGCATTAGAGAGATTGACATATGTTACAGAAGAAGTTATAAAATCATTTGAATCCTGTGATATTGATATTACTGATAAGAAAAAATTTGCTCCCCATCTAACAATTTTAAAATTATCAAAGGACTCTAGATTATGGAAAAAGGTAAAATAATAATGTTTATTAATTCAAATTATAATTATTTATAACTCAGTAATTTTAGTTTTATGTATTGTTTTACGATTGTCTAATTAGTGTTAAAATCAGTAAGAGCATTGCATATTTTATGAATAATTTATAAATATTTTTTGGATAGTTTTACAAAAATAACTAGTATTGTTTACGTCTAAGAAATATAATCCATTATTCACAATCATCAGTTTGAGTGTTTGCATATAAGTAACTATTAAAACTAATCATAATCAGTATATTACATATAAAGCATACACTAAATATAATTTTAAATAGTAGGAAAATGTAAATGCTTGTTATAGATCTGCTCAAATCTTGAGCAAAGATTTATAAAAAATGCAACAAATGTAGAAAGCACAGCCAGAGCAATTTACCAAATTATTTTAATGCCAGTAATACTAAGAAACAAATATACATTTCATTTGTGGTTGCTAAAATTGGAAAGTTAAGGCATTCTCAGTTTTGTTACTTGCAGAGAGGACTGTTTCAAAATATCATAGGATGGTTTTTTATTAAGTTTATGATCATTTGCAGGGGAGTTAGTTTACCCTTTCCCTTTTTTATCACTGAGCACTTTTTTTGATGCCTTTTCCTCTTTTTTTTTTTTTGCACTTAAATTGGGTATTTTGTATATTTTCTATATATAAATCTGAAATTAAGTCTGTAAGTAACAATTTCTGTTTTTTGATATTTTAACATCTTTTGATGTAAAATAATAAGGATGATTCTATTCATCACAAAAGTGATGAAGGTATGTGATGTTATGACAGCTTACCAGTTTAAAAAATGTCAAGGATATTAAAGTCAAAACTGAAGGACTAAGTAAATAATTTTAAAGATGAAGGAATTAGAATTACAACCAATGATAGTATTTGAGTTGTGAACTGTGTGATGTTATCATACATTTGGATGAAAAGCATCTCTCTTCATGGGTCAGGCAGCACATTAAACATGCAAAACATATTCCCAACAGTGAAAGAAAAAAAGAATGAAAAGAAGAGTGTGTTTTATTTTGGCATCATTAAATTCTAACAAAATATAATGCAAGCACGAAAAATGTATTTTTACGTAAACTGCCTATAGCTTTAATACAATCATGGATTGCTTTTAATAAGATAAATTACCTAGAATTCACAAACTTCCTAGAAAAGTATACCATGAAATGCTAAGGAAAAGCTATGTGCAGCCTGCATATGAAGGAACTTTCAAAAAGTATAGAAAATAGTAGGAAACAACCCAGTCTTTTTTATTTTGGATAAAATAAGAAAAGTGCTGAACATTCTCACTGATCTAACAGGGGAGCCAGTACAACCCATGCNTATATATAAATGGTTTGCTGTATATTAGTTAATATGACGATTTTAGTCTCTGTAATCCAAAAATATTCTTGGTAGACAAATCTCACAGCAATCTTATTGGCAAATTAAATTTATTTTGTAAAGACTACATCAAATGCATTTCGGGCTGGTCTAATATTTTCCAGTCCCTCTTCAGTGAATAACCGCTGGTGGTAATTACAATGATATTTCCATGGGTAGGGTGGTAAACTTTGTACACATTTGTAAGAATCAAGTTTAAAAAACCTTTTCCACATACGTGTATAATAAACATACTAAAACCAACTAATTATTAAAAATTCATTGACAAACAATTGTAAAGATAATTCCAAAGCACTACAAATTTTTAAACTCATACCATCAATACTTTACTATGTCACTCAGTACACCATCAACACTTTACAACGGTAATCAAGTGATGACTTTGGAAGATTTTCTATTTCAATTTTTAAAATTTTTGAATTCAAATTGGTTTGATTATAGAACAATTTTAAACGTTCCAGAAAATTGATCAAATTGAAAATAGTTTGTTTGACTGGACGTAAAAATTCTCTAATTAGTCTGGAAACGGGGGACCTAATTCTTGCATTCTGTGAAAACGGGTAAGATTGGCTATAATGTAATCACTTGGTCATCACTTGATTACCGTTGTAAAGTGTTGATGGTGTACTGAGTGACGTTGTAAAGTATTGATGGTATGAGTTTAAAAATTTGTAGTGCTTTGGAATTATCTTTACAATTGTTTGTCAATGAATTTTTAATAATTAGTTGGTTTTAGTATGTTTATTATACACGTATGTGGAAAAGGTTTTTTAAACTTGATTCTTACAAATGTGTACAAAGTTTACCACCCCTACCCATGGAAATATCATTGTAATTACCACCAGCGGTTATTCACTGAAGAGGGACTGGAAAATATTAGACCAGCCCGAAATGCATTTGATGTAGTCTTTACAAAATAAATTTAATTTGCCAATAAGATTGCTGTGAGATTTGTCTACCAAGAATATTTTTGGATTACAGAGACTAAAATTGTCATATTAACTAATATACAGCAAACCATTTATATATATTTGGAAGAAAAGTCTTCAGTGGCTGCAATGAAACTCAAGAGTCTGTTGAAGAAGCTTTATATTGTTTATTTATACAAGTTCTGTGTAGTTCAATTTCTAAACTTGAGGAAAGAAGTCTGTCTACTGAGAAACAGTGAAAGATTTTTGAACATGCCAAAAACTAGTTGGATGGATTTGCTTTATAGAAACTGGAATATATTCTGAGCAAACACCTAGATTTTCAAAATATAACATCTGAGTCTCTTCAGTCAAAACTTGGAGTTTTAGCAAAAATCATAAATGCTGCTCTCACATCTGTTGATGTAGATAGATCGGTTTTGCTGTTCAAAGATTTACCTATCTGATGCTATTTGCAGCTGATTATGAATAATATAGAATGCAGTGTCTTTGCAAGTAAACTACTTTTCTGTTTATAAACTAGGAAAATGATGGATTAGCTTCTGAAATTGACTGATTTGAATTTTCTATGATTTTCTTGAGTTTTGTGTGTTCTCTGCATACTTTTGTATGCAATAAATTGATAGTTTTATATTTTTTAGTAGCATTTTTTTGCAAAACTTCATTTTTTAGATTTCTTTTAAAGAAAATTTGCACCTCAACCTTCCAAGTTTAATTATAACATTTTAAATTGTTTCATATATATAAATAATAACAACTCAAAGCCCGAGAAATATATAATAAATCACCAAACGATTGCCTTAATATCGGGCCGATATTAAGGCGATCGTTTGGTGATTAAATTGTTTCATCCATGTGTCATATTCCTTTAAATTTAAGAGACAACCAAATTTATAAAATAGTGATTTTCAAAAAAAAATTGATAATTAGTAAAAATTAATAAATTCTTTCGAACTCTATTTAAGATAATTCAGTCAAATAGTCTAAAATAAATGTGCTGGTGCCACACATTAATTTATCAATTGGTTAAAAAAACTGAAACTGAATTTTTTATTTTATAATGGACTTTCCTATTTGGCTAAACATGCTGATTCTGAAGCACATCTTTTCAAGGAACATCTAACTTTAGTCATTGGGTCCACATTTGCCTTTCTTTTTATATTCATTCAGCTATAGAAATTCAGATTCTAAGTGATTTTATGTTCTTGCATTTTTGCATTTAGATAGCTAAATGCAAATTTACATTATGTACAGGTACATAATAAGCAAAAGAATTTTGGGAGTCAAGAAACAGCACAATAATTTTACTTCAGTTACAAATATGATTGCATTTAGATAGCCTCAAAACCAAAAGTTCTTCAAATTTGATAATTGTGGTGGCTATAACATTGGAAATGATTAGGTAATCACTCTTGTAAAAAATGCTGTTGCATTAAGGCTTGCACCATAATGATAGATATTGTGGTATTAGACAATTTCTCTGCTGCAATGCTGACAGTTTCAGAGCCTATCTCTAATAGCTTTAACAAAACATGTCACTGGATCAAATGCAGAGTTTTCTTCAAAAATTGATGCTATGAAACTACACTACACCATTACCTCTGGTGTATGAAATGGAATTTGTTAGTGAATATTGGAAGTTTTGTCAAACCAAAAATGGCAGTTGTGAGTGTTCCATTACAGTGCAAATGAAAATAAGCCACATTCCTACACAAAATTTGCCAATGCCATATAGCATCAATCATTATCAGAGCTATAAATGTTGTGGCCAAAGGTGTATGCTATAACTTTTCCAAGGTGGTGCACAACCATTATCATAATTATTACTTAAAATTATAGTATGTTAGATTTCTTTATTTAAAACTATATATAATTCCATGATATTTGTTTTCATTTCTATCTTATTATTATTTTTAGTAAACTCTAATCAATATATATATAACTCCTACAGTGGAGATGAAAGACCTGTTTGCCTCTCAGTGGATGCTCATGATTATGGAAAATGTTTTCTGTTTGTCATTATCACTAGAAACCAAGTTTTGACTGTGGGATATCTTGTATCGATAAAAATGCAAGATTATCTGCAGACTGCTCCAAACACCCTACACAATACAGTGGAACCCCGGTTAACGAACTTAATCCGTTCCGCGACTCCGTTCGTTAACTGAATTGTTCGTTAACTGAAGCAATGTTTCCCATAGAAATTAATGCAAATGCAATTAATCCGTTCTAGTCTCCAAAATTTTTGTCATTTTATTTGTAATATACAGTAATTTTCTTTGATGAAAATGTAGGAAAACGTAGTATCTATCATTACAGCAACAAACATGTAAACTTTGTTTAATAAAATAGCACTGTACATACTTTCGTTTGTTGTAGTTGGTGGCAGAAAAGTGAAGATATACGAACCTTAATGTTTGGAAGGGGAATCCCCTTCAAAAAAATAATGGGTAGCACTTCATCGGAAGATTCTTTGAGTCGAAATCTCTTTTGGTAAAAAAACCCACCAGTGGCTAAGTCGTCTTCGTACCTTGAAGTTCGTTCATGGGTTCGCACCTCGCTCAGACGGGCTGGCCACGTGGAGTTTTCCGGGATTTCTCCACGTCTGTAACGCCCAAATAGGGGTCAGTTTCCCTTAAAAACACCTCCCAGAAGGCATTCTCCCTAGTCAGATCGCCCAAGCATTGCATTGCCATAACTTAACAAAGAAACAAATTCTTTTCATAAGGAACAAGAAATTGATCTAAAGTTGATTGTCTTACTCTTTTAATCAAAATTTTTTTCAAATGCGATAGCACATTGTCGTTTTCTATTGCCACTATGACTTTTTTCTTTCTTTGATGCCATATTGATTAAATATATAAATCACAAAACTGAAAAAAGAAGTATAGTACAAACACTCGGAAAAGCAATGCTTAACTTGCGCATGCCTAACACTAACTAAAATTTGACACAAAATACCGTTACGTTTGTTATCCAAATTTTGTTCGTTATCTGAGACAAAATTTTTGCAAAATAAAAGTTCGTTAACCGATTTGGTCGTTAACCAGGACGTTCGTTAACCGGGGTTCCACTGTAGTGCTTTCCACACTGTTGTTTTGGGCACATTTTAATTTGCATGGTATTGCATGGTCAATACTGCTGTCTTGAGGATTTTCTGTTCCACGCTTCATTACTGTAATAATGTCTTCTGTTTTCAATGTCCAATTGATATATGACCTGTCCTGGTTTCAGTGAAAGTTCAAATCTCAGAATGCAAAATCATTCTTCCAAGATTCCCAATAGTTATAAGACATCTTTTAAGAAATTTTGGTGCTTAAAAATTTTACAAAGCTGAGCTGGCATTATAGGTTCATTGATAGAAAAGCTTATTATGAACTGTAATGCAAATCACACAAAATCAGCATATGACAAACTTTTTTCACAATTCTTTAATAAATGAACAGTTGACTCCTTTTATACTTAGAAAATATAGGTATTATGCACATTAAGTAGCACCAAAATTTAGCTACTAGAGCTAGATTTTGAAGCAGAAATTACTGTATTTCCAAAATTGCACACTCAAGACAGTAAAAATACCAAATTTGGTTGAGATTTGATTAATAGTTCTTTCAACAGAGAGCTCTGAGAACATCTGTTCTGTAATTATGAACACCATATATGTAATATGCAAAACTTTTATTGTTTTTTTTTATGGTAATTATGTCAAACATTAATTTTTCAGTAAGTTGGTAAGTTTTTAAATTTATTAGATAAAATTAAAATATCAATTCATGTGTGTGGAAATAGTTTTAATGCATTTTATTTTCTAATAAAACTAAATTCATTAAATAATTTTGTACAGTTTATTTGTAGATTGTTAATTATTAAAAACTAACACTTCTTTAATTAATAATGGTCAGCTTTAATTTTATTTGCATAAAAGAGGTGAATTTTTCATTGAACTCTTTACATTGTACTTTATGTAATCTGTTTTTCCTTTTAATAAAAAGGAATCAATATTTTATTTAATTTACTATTGAATATTATAAATTTTAATGGATTAATTTTACTTTACTTTTAGTTATTTTATATTGATTCTTTGATCAAATCTATATAAAATAACAGTAGGATAGTGTAATTTATCATCAGATAGAATGTTGAATATTCTTTACCATATTCTGCCCATGCATTTCTACTTTCAGTTGCACCTCTCCTTTAATTTTAATTTCATTTATTGATAAACTACTATATCTTAGCATGATTACCTGGTAAAAGATTCCATGTTATTGTAATTGATGAATCTTTGTATGTAGTTTCTGTTCCATCATTTTCATATGATCAAATCTGCTTTGTATTAATTCCTCACTCCTTTCCTGCAGTTTTCTGACCAGTGTCATTTTTTCAGAAGATTCATTCTATTGATCATACAATCTCATTTATACATTTGTCAGATGCAATACTAATTCAGTGTGCAGTGGGTATTTGACATATTTGGTAATTTAATAAAACTCTAATCTAGCAAAAACCAAATATATTTTAATAAAAATTTGTGTGCACACACATTATTGAGATTTGGTACAAATCTCAGTAAGCTTTCTTATAAGATTATTATATGAATCCATCTTTATCTTCAATGTCTGCTTCAATGTAGGACCAGAATCATTTAAATGCCTACACTGAATGGTCTTTATTCATTTCCAACATCTGGACAATGGCAGCCTTCAGTGAAGTTATGATGATGATGATTAGACTTGATTGAGTTGATGTTGACTTTTCAATAATGCTCCAAATATAGTCAGACAGTCTTTACATGATTGTAAAGATTGCCTGACATCCATTCTTAGGTTATTGGGCTTTGTGAGAAGGTGGTGAGGGGTCTTGTAAAAATATATATATTCTTCCATTGCATATTTCATTTATCCAGAACTTAACAACTGTCTTTAGCACCTCAATATGTCCAGTAGCATTAACTCTAAGATCTTGAGGAAAGATGTGAGGTGGCTGACATGCAATGGCGTGCGGTGACGTTTGATAATAGAGAAGCTGTGCCGGTCCTGGATAGAATGATTGGAAGCATTATACGATATTTTGGTGTGTAGCATCCACGAGCTAAACCGTGTGAGGTTGATGCTCTGTAAAGCACATGTGCAAATGTGTGTAATCTGGCTGTTTACTCCATTCAAATATTTTTGCTATGGAAGCTGTCCCATATTCAACAATACAGCACTTCCATTGAGAATATGCATATATATTGAATTTATACTCGAATATATAATAGCAATCTTATCATTATTTTTCACATGTATAGAAATTTTAAATAAGATACATAATGTGGTTATAATAGAATATAAATTTTAAGTAATTCAAAGTATGTTAAAATATGAAAATAATTGCGCAATATATATTTATATTTTAGAAAATACAAGGGAAGCAGCACTTCCACAGCTTCCATGGATGGCACGCCACTGCTGACATGACCTTTGTTACTCATCACTTCTAAAACTTCTTTCATCACCATTGCTGGAAACTTATGTGCAGATCCTTCTAATATCAGCAGAATGATGCACACTAACCATCTATTATTTCTCCTGTTAAACTTAGACCTAGACCAAAAGTCTATCTTTCTAAGTTGCAGCACTTAGAAAGTTGGCAATTTCTAAATTTCTGTGCTCTTCACATAGAAAGATATGCAGCCATTGCTAGCATATTTCTTCTGTTAGCATTTTATCTGCCATGGTAGATTTGAAAGAAACAAAGACATTTAATTGATATAAACAGTGTAATATACTGAAAATTATACTTCCATATAAAATTAAGTTTTCCATTGTATTCATGTATAAGTGTGAATGTGTGTGTGTATTTGTGATTTTTTTCCTCCATAAAAATAATTTTTTTGGAAGGAATTGGATTGAATTTAAAATATTCTTTCCTCAGGGTATCAAAAAAGTTGAATGTTGTTTATATGATGAATTCAAGGATGAACAGTTTGGAACAGAAATAGTTAAAGGTTTACAGCTATTAGAAATGAAGCGCAAAGATGACACTGGATATTATCATTGCTGTAAAGAATTTTTATTTGGTAAGAGAAATTATTTTCTAAACTTTTAATATTCTATTCTTCTTTAAATGTATTTTCTTGTTTAAATATTTATGGCTTGTCATACACCAATGATAATAGCACTACAGTTTAAAAGCCTTACTTTTGTTACTAAAATAATTAATCCTACAGTTTCTTAATATTTCAGTGAACATTTCAAGAGACCACATTTCACTCCCTCTTTAGCCTAATATGACAGATACTATGTACAGTACTTACTGGTGAATACTAAAATTACATAAAAATATGAATTACTTATTAACAGAAATACTTTCAACTAATTTAAAACAAAATATTATATTTGAAAATAGGATTTAGGTTTTATTAATTTTAAAAGATATTTCCGAACGATCCTTTTTTTTCTTTACATTATAAAAAATTAAAACTTGTGTAAAACCGATATTAAAGCCCTCAGAGTATTTTCAGTTCTAAATTATAAACAATTACTAACAAAGTAGTGTTATTAATGAATTTTTATTAATTTCAAAATCAATTATATTCTCAATTTTATAGTTCTGTAGTTTTTGCAATATTTTAATGGCAGTGCAACAGTGGTGCACAATGCATGAACCTCTCTGGAAACTTGTGGTTATGTATGCAAATTGTTCAAAAGTCCATTAACCAATTGTTCAAAATTAGAACAAAACAAGATCAAATAATATAACATTAAAATAAATTAAATTAGGAAGCTTCTGTCAATATAAATAAAAACAACAATATTATTTGTACCTACAAGAGAAAATATTAGTAACAAAGCCAGAAACTGATAGAAGCTCCCCTCATTACTAACAATTTTAATCAAAATTTTAAGCTGCATCAAATTACATAAACTAAAGGAGATATGTGTATTTAAGCTTCATACTTATTAGTCTTAAATGCAAAATCAAAAGTGATGATTTTAATAAATAAGTATAATTTTGGCGAGCGAGTCTGTTGTTACATTATATACACGTCAAGGTAATATTTACAAGAATTAATTTGAATACATTTATGAAATCGATTCAAAATTTTATCAATCATATTTTACTGATTACATTTCACAAAATGATGCTAAAAAGAAAATTGATTCCAATTTTTATGAAATGTTTAATATTATGATTTGTTTATTTACAGAAAATTCAAAATATTCAAAAAACGAATGTTCAGAAGAATCCGAAGCAAAAATAGGAGAGAGTCCAAAGGTTGTTCTTCGAAAGGAGAAAGAAAACGTGCGAAAGAAAATTTCGTCTTTAACCGAAACACAACTAAAAAGATTATGACAGAAGCAATAATCAATGAAAATTAGTAATTTTATACACATGCACCTTGTATTTTTCTATGTACAAAATACTTGTATTATAGAATATCCACGTTGCACAAAATCACAATTAGTAAAATTGGATTGCAAGAACAGAAAACTCACACCTTTGTACATTAAATAAAGTTTATTTTCATTCTGATTCTTTCTCTGCATACATATCTTTGGTTATATCTGGAGAGACACTGTGCTTCAACATCTTGTTGTCATCAAAACAATCAGTTTTGTTACTTTACATATACTTAAGAATAAAATAAATGCAGAAAGTAAGCCATGCGATATTTGTTACCTTATAAAAACAGATATCAGTTTGAATTTTTCTGCTTTTATTTCTGGAAAACAAAGTGTGGAGACAAACTATAGATACTTTCAATAGAAATGATCAAAATTACAATTAAGAAATGTAATGATTTTATATCTTCTATTCCTCCTTTTGGAACAGCATCGAATGTATTCATGCAAATGAAATCATATTGTCATCTGTATAATTTACAATCAATATATCAATTCAAGATTATCAATTATTTGTTCTTGCATTTTAACATTTTACATTCTCTTATATTTAACATTTTAAAATCATTAAATAGAAGATTCATTGAATTACCTTAACAAAAAACAATGGGGCATGTGCCTTGGTACCTCCCAATTGCCTTAGCAACACCCATATATACTTAGATATACAGTAAATAATTCTTATCCCATTGACATATTTTAACTGTTTAGAAATTGTTCATTTGTACAATTTGTGACACACAACAAAGTAATTATATGTCAGATTTCTTATACTGGATGGTTTAAGTAGGTTTAAGTTACATGGGTAACCAGTGAATGGGTGCATGAGTTTGCTATTTCAGCCAGTTCTTTTTCCCCTTATGCCTACGTGTCCCAGACTTAACAAAATCTCACTTGGTAGTATCATAAAAAGCTGGTATAATAGCTGCGGGACCTTCTGCACGAGACAGTCCTGAAAAAACTAGAGTTCAAAGTCTGCATTGTACTGACAAAATACTCACTTGGTAGTATCATAAAAAGCTGGTATAATAGCTGCGGACCTTCTGCACGAGACAGTCCTGAAAAAACTAGAGTTCAAAGCCTGCATTGTACTGACAAAATACCTATGTCTCCCACCAATTTTGATAGGTAGTGTTTGATATGATTATGAAATCTTCCAAACCGTTTCGTTCTAAGGACCACTAGTAATATACTAGATGGGGAGGGTCATGCAGGCAAACTTCTTGAGAAGGGAGGAAGAGCAAGAGAAGGCCATCCATGCCGTGATATTGTATCACTCATTAAAATATCAAAACAATTTTTTTTTTGGAGAGATGATACTTTAATATCAACTGCGGTAACTATTCGACAAAGAAAAGTTTTCACATTATATGATTAGACTCTATGAATAATGAACTAATCTAAGTCTAAGCAGTAAATCAAACATGCTACTGTCTTGATTGTGAAAATAAGTATTCTCAATAGTAATTATTTTTGGTGATTACATTAATATTAATCCCATTTACTCAAGAAATGGAACCTGTGCAGAAATTAACCTTTTTTCCACCGATTCGCTTTGAGAAGACCTGGTTTACAGTATATTTAGGGTGGAATGTGATGAAAAGAAAGAAGAAAAGCGATATTGTAGGCGCGAACGAATATGCATAAGTAATGCTGTTAAGGCAATTTGTCTTCGACAGCGGCCATACCACGCTGAAAATACCGGTTCTCGTCCGATCACCGAAGTCAAGCAGCGTCGGGCCCGGTCAGTACTTGGGACGGAGACGACCTGGGAATACCGGGTGCTGCTGTCACTATTTTTTTTTCTTTCATTCTTCGATCTATCTCTTTTTCTTTCGTCTAATCAAATTTATCACTTGGCCCAGTAATTTTTCTTTAATAAATTATATCAAGCAAACGTTTCTTTTCTATGCCCTCTCGCTTCCTGTACATGGCTTTAAAAATCCTCAGTGTGTCAATTACAAAGGCATACTGGGCGTTTAAATGTCTTTATCACGCGTAAAAGAACATTATCAAAATCCTATTATATATATTTATATTTACTAAACATTCAAATGGCACAAGTCATTAAATGCGAAATAATAATAATGTGGGTTTAGAACTAAATAGAATTTGTATATAGTCGCTGGATACTAAGCAGCTTCAGAAATCCCTACAGTTTGTAGTTTGAAACCCGACGATTCCGTGGGTGCTAAACGACACGAGGGCTTTCAATATGCTGTTGGTGTAATGGTTATAAAAAGTTGTTTAATTTACATAGATTCGAGCTTTTGTTATTCTGGGCGACATTTCGGATGAAAATCGTCCGTTTGGATGCAATTTTTTCCTAGGAAGCGATAAAAGTAAGGGATGGGACCCCGCCTAGTTTGACCTATCGACCCGCAAGTAGGCCTATCGCCAGCACTTCACTGATAACGAGAAAAGCTTAAGTTTAAAATTTGAGCTCTCTAGACCCAGTAGTGTTGTTTCTCTAGGAGCGTCTGCACCGCCAAATGAATAAGAAAAAGAAAAAAAAAAGTACAGCTTTTATGGACATCTCTAACACGTGGCTTAACACGACTAGAATGAAGTTTATAATTCGTTTTTAATGGAAAAATACATCCATCTCAAGACTCACTCAATAGATCTTTCGTATATTTCAGAACGTATAGTCCTTATCGTGTGTAAGCTTTTATCTGTAAAATTCGGACACTTTAATTAATTTAACAAAAGTTTAATTTTATTAATAGATTGGTAGATTACTATGCTTCGAGTCTATTTTTTTTTTTTTTCGGTTCGAAGGATCATCATAAAATCGAAATTTTTATTCGCCTTTATACAGAATATTAGATTTTTGAATTCATATTACTGTTAATGCAAGGAATGATCCGTCTTTTCAGCGACAGGGAGGCGCAAAAATCACGAAATTCGGTGAAAAATCCAAACATTTTGCATTAAATTTCGTGGCGACGCAACAATAAAACTCCGACAATTTGTTGCGAGCGGTTTGATTTTTTGTTCAAAGTGTTTTTTTGTTTCAAAGATTGTTAAAAGTGATTTATTTCAAGCGTTTTCTGAGTTTTGCATCATTTGCAGCCATTTTATCGGTAAGTTCAGACCACGAACTTTCTAAATTTAGGTATTTTTGAACATTGTTTAGCCGAATATCACAATTAGTGGCAATGATTTTTCAACAAAGCTCTATTTAGATAACAATCGATGGTTTTGGTCACACAGACGACCAATGGGGTCTTTCCGCTTATTTCGGGAGATATTTTTCATTCTTTTTATTGTTAATTTTCGTTAAGACAAATTGTTAAAGATTTGGGTTATATTTACCCTAGGTAGCCAAGATGGCGGCGCTTCCTGTATCCTCGAATAAGATCGCTAGGCTACGGTCGACGTAGAGGGCGCTGTTTAGATATTTGTGACGGATTAATTATGCAAATTATTATCGAATGATAACGTGCGTTTGCGGGTGCTTTTGAAGTGTCGCGAAAGCGAAAAAAGACTTAGGAATTCGAAAAGAAAAAAAAAAGAAAGAAAAAAAAAAGGCGATGCTTGCGATTAATTGATTTTTTAAATATTTCTAATAATGGAAAATTTAGAAATTAATAGCGATGAATTTTGGTCGAACTATGCACGAGCGGGCAGTTTGTCGACTTTTGGAATCGGAATATGCAAATTTAGGTTTACGTGCCGGAATCGGTAGCGACTTCGAATTTGCCGTAAGTTGAGGCATTCGGCACGTCGAGGACGTTTGCAGAATATGTTCCGACAAGTGTAAGTTAACGTACAGACGCGATAGGAATTCGTGCGTTACGAGATGCCGAACACAGTTCGGCCTTTGACGGCACCTTCGAAGGAAAAATGCGGCAAAATTTCTTGGTCGGGTGAATGTTCAGATGCGTGGACCATCATGGCGGCACTTCCTGTTTTAGCCTCGAAACCTGATGCCTTTGGAGACGACGTGTCACGTGACGACGCGAGCGCCTGCGCGACGTGTCGCGTGACGACGCGAGTGCCTGCGCGTGTTCTGAGTGCGCTTTTGCGCCTGCGCGTGTTCTGAGTGTGGTTTTGCGCCTGCGCGACGTGTCATGTGACGACGCAAGCGCCTGCGCGTGTTCTGAGTGTGGTTTTTTGAAATTTTCGACCGGTTGCAACATCGGAGAATTAGACGGAATACATATAAAACACGCGACAGTAAATCATTCGAAAAACTTTGTGAATCCGTTGGACGGCGTGCATACGCAAAACATCGAAAGGATGTGGGGGACCTTCAAGAACAGAAAAAATCTGCCCCTACACTATACCGAGGAACTTCGAGATTCGTATCTGTACGCTTTTATGTACAAAAAGCATATGAAGTGGGAAAGTCTCAAGCCGGGTGATCGTTTCAGAATTTTCTGCGAACATTTAAGAAAAATGTATCCAGGAGCGGGACGCNGTTATTGTAATTGATGAATCTTTGTAAGTAGTTTCTGTTCCATCATTTTCATATGATCAAATCTGCTTTGTATTAATTCCTCACTCCTTTCCTGCAGTTTTCTGACCAGTGTCATTTTTTCAGAAGATTCATTCTGTTGATCATACAACACACAAATCTCATTTATACATGAATCTTTACATGATTGTAAAGATTCATGTATAAATGGATCCTAAATGTAACCTAAGAATGGATGTCAGGCAATCCTTACATGATTGTAAAGATTGCCTGACATCCATTCTTAGGTTATTGGGCTTTGTGAGAAGGTGGTGAGTCGTGTTGAAATATATATATTCTTCCATTGCATATTTCNGGTAAAAGATTCCATGTTATTGTAATTGATGAATCTTTGTATGTAGTTTCTGTTCCATCATTTTCATATAATCAAATCTGCTTTGTATTAATTCCTCACTCCTTTCCTGCAGTTTTCTGACCAGTGTCATTTTTTCAGAAGATTCATTCTATTGATCATACAATCTCATTTATACATTTGTCAGATGCAATACTAATTCAGTGTGCAGTGGGTATTTGACATATTTGGTAATTTAATAAAACTCTAATCTAGCAAAAACCAAATATATTTTAATAAAAATTTGTGTGCACACACATTATTGAGATTTGGTACAAATCTCAGTAAGCTTTCTTATAAGATTATTATATGAATCCATCTTTATCTTCAATGTCTGCTTCAATGTAGGACCAGAATCATTTAAATGCCTACACTGAATGGTCTTTATTCATTTCCAACATCTGGACAATGGCAGCCTTCAGTGAAGTTATGATGATGATGATTAGACTTGATTGAGTTGATGTTGACTTTTCAATAATGCTCCAAATATAGTCAGACAGTCTTTACATGATTGTAAAGATTGCCTGACATCCATTCTTAGGTTATTGGGCTTTGTGAGAAGGTGGTGAGACATCCATTCTTAGGTTATTGGGCTTTGTGAGAAGGTGGTGAGTCGTGTTGAAATATATATATTCTTCCATTGCATATTTCATTTATCCAGGGCTTAACAACTGTCTTCAGCACCTCAATATGTCCAGTAGCATTAACTCTAAGACCTTGTGGAAAGATATGAGGTGGCTGACATGCAATGGCATGTGGTGACATTTGATAATAGAGAAGCTGTGCCAGCCCTGGATAGAATCATTGGAAGCATTATATGATATTTTGGGGTATAACATCCACGAGCTAAACCATGTGAGGTTAATGCTCTGTAAAGCACATGCACAAATGCGTGTAATCTGGCTGTTTTACTCCATTCAGTTTTATTCCATTCAAATAGTTTTGCCATGAAAGCTGTCCCGTATTCGACAATACAGCGCTTCCATTGAGAATATGCATATATATTGAATTTATATTCAAATATACAATAGCAATCTTATCATTATTTTTCACATGTATAGAAATTTTTAATAAGATACATAATGTGGTTATAATTGAATTACTTGAAATAAATATTCTAAGTACGTTAAAATATGAAAATAATTGAACAATATATATTTATATTTTAGAAAATACAAGGGAAGCGGTGCTTCCACAGCTTCCATGGATGACATGCCACTGCTGACATGACCTGTATGCTATAACTTTTCCAAGGTGGTGCACAACCATTATCATANAGTGAAGTTATGATGATGATGATTAGACTTGATTGAGTTGATGTTGACTTTTCAATAATGCTCCAAATATAGTCAGACAGTCTTTACATGATTGTAAAGATTGCCTGACATCCATTCTTAGGTTATTGGGCTTTGTGAGAAGGTGGTGAGGGGTCTTGTAAAAATATATATATTCTTCCATTGCATATTTCATTTATCCAGAACTTAACAACTGTCTTTAGCACCTCAATATGTCCAGTAGCATTAACTCTAAGATCTTGAGGAAAGATGTGAGGTGGCTGACATGCAATGGCGTGCGGTGACGTTTGATAATAGAGAAGCTGTGCCGGTCCTGGATAGAATGATTGGAAGCATTATACGATATTTTGGTGTGTAGCATCCACGAGCTAAACCGTGTGAGGTTGATGCTCTGTAAAGCACATGTGCAAATGTGTGTAATCTGGCTGTTTACTCCATTCAAATATTTTTGCTATGGAAGCTGTCCCATATTCAACAATACAGCACTTCCATTGAGAATATGCATATATATTGAAT